TTGCCACCTTTTGGCTGAAGGCCTCCAGGTGAAGAGTCGCATTTACTCGTAGGTAGATAAGTTCACTTACCTGTGGTAGTCCGCACCAGGTAGAGAGAACTCTCTTTAATTTCCTTGGCCAGAAGTCTCCAGTCAAGTAAATTAAACCCAGAGAAAGGTTGCTCAACGGTGAATAATTTTTGGGCTTTATCAACCCAAAAATTATTAATAACAGCGAAAAGTATTGGTGAATTATCGCCACCTATCACTCGCCGTCGAACTACGGGAAATCCCCGAAAATTTATAAGTTTTTAATTTAAATCTTTAAAATTAAATATCAGATTCATTCAAACAATTCGTCAGATTACATCAATTTCATCAAATTACATTTCCATACAATTTCACGTCAGAACTTAGAAAAAATAATTTTAAAACAAAATAATTATTTTACAAAAATTATTTCCCATACTAATTTAATTTCTGGGACTTAGGAAAATAATTAATTGGATATTTCGAATTTATTCAAAATATTCTAATCAATTAATTATTTCAGATATAGTAAATTTTTGTTCTTTGAAAGAACAAAAATTATCACGTCGCGGTTTCGCTTATATCAGCTCGGCGATTTTTATCGCGAGCGAACAGTCGACGCCATCTATCGCGAGATGGCGAACTAACTTTTAGACGACGTTGTAAATAAATATTAATAACTGATAACAAATTATAATAATCAATAATAATAATTAACAATAAACAAAATAATTAAGCTCATAGGAAAAAAGGATAAACTTAAATATAATAAATCTTTATTGCGTTTAACAGGATTCAATCCTCAATACAAATTATTCCATAATTAAATAAATAAAAGTTACTATATATATATATACATATTAAAAAACTATCGGAGAATTATTTACAAAAATTTCACATCATTTGCAGGAAAATAAGCAAGTACACGGCCTCATACTTTCATTAAGTTATCTCATAGGTTTGTGGAAGTAAAAATGTCTTTGAAGAAGAAGAACAATTTTTTGAGCTGGTCCAGGTTCAACGTTTCGAGGCAAGACAGTACTTCGGCGACAGGCTCCACATCCTCTATGTTGAAGTGTTGGAGACGAGCGTTTGCATAGAAAGGGCATCTAAGTACAACATGGTTGATCGTTTCTCGCTCTTCCAGGTGACAATTTCTGCAGATTCTAGTAGGGGAGAGTTTCAAAGAGTGGGTATTGATGGAGAGGTTGCAAGCATATAGGTTAGCTAGTCTCAACTGTATCACTAGCTTGGTGATGTGCCCTGGGAAGTTTTCGAATATCTTTGGGTAGACTTCCAAAATTGGTCGTTTAAAGCAGAATTGGCAGGCTGACGATGTATTATAGCGAGCAATGTCCAAGGTTTGCTTGTAGAGCTGGAACTTGGCCAGGACGGAGTCCTTTTTAGCTTTCCAAGTGTTTGAGGAGAGACTGTGGATTAAATTCTCTTCCCCAATCAGTGCGAGAATGTCTTGCAGCTGCTTGATCCAGTTTGACCTCTTGTAGGGGGTATCTAGGAGACTATGCAGTTTCAGATAACATCTTTTTGGGATACGTGAGTCGTCCATGTCGAGTATTTTTATGACCCATGAAATAGCTGCTGTTAAAATTTTCACGGAGATGTGATCTAATTTAAGTTCAACGCGGATAGCATATTTTGGAGTACAGCTTGGTAAATACATGGTCTTTTTGAAGAACACCAAGTTAGCAGTGTCAAGTATCTCCAAGTGATTTTGGTTGAGTCCCCATAGGTGCGCAAGGTACAGCATAGAAGATTGGGTTATGCTATTATGAAGTTCTAGTCTCCCGTACCAAGAGTTAGCTTTGAGTTTGGCTATTATGGAAAGCACGGTACCAGTTGCTACTTTGCCTTTTCTGGCGGCTGATTCGGTGGCAGATTTTCCTTTCCCATTTGACGTGAACTTCACCCCGAGGTATTCGTACTCAGTTACCACTTCAAGATCCTGGTTTTTATATTTAGGCACGCCAGGGGCTTTAATTCTGCCACTGTTACTGGTCACCATTACCTTCGTTTTACTCACGTTCACTGTTAATCCATTGATTTCGCAGTATTCCTCTAGTAGTCGCAGGTTTTTTAAGAGTTTGTTCCACGAAGTAGAGAGAAGAACAAGATCGTCCGCATACATCAGGAACAACACGTCCGAGGAACCCAGGAAGATGCCTTCGGCTCCCTTTGACTTAAAGAAGGACACGATATCACTGATATACAGGCTGAATAAGATTGGGCTTAGTATTTCTCCCTGTAAAACCCCCTCAGTAATGTCGATGGGATTTGATAGCTTATTATTGGCTCGGACTTGCATTCTGATGTTTGCGTAGAAGTTTCTCAGGAACTGTAGCAGTTTGGAACTCGTGCCCATAGAGTGTAGCTTGGCCCATAGCTTTTCGTGGGGGACAGAGTCGAAGGCTCTTTTAAAGTCGATAAACAGTAAGTATGCTGCGTTTCCTTTAAACCGGGATTGTATGTGGTGTAGAGCAAAAAGAGAGAAGACATTGTCAGCGCAGCTACGACCCGGTTCAAAACCTGTTTGTTCTTCAGGAATGAGGTTCTTTTTCGTTGCCCATACTCTGATACGACAGAGGAGGACCTGGGTGAACACTTTAGACACGCAATTGACTAGAGCGATACCCCTGTAGTTGCTGGGGTCTTGCGGGTTGCCTTTTTTGAGGAGCATATGTAGAATGACCCTCGACCAGTCTGAAGGGATTTCACCAGTCCTGTAAATTTTATTGAAAAGGGCGACGATGTAGAGGAGCCAGTTGTCGGGTAGCTCCTTTAGGAATTCGTTGGTAATACCGTTAATTCCGGGAGATTTTCCGTTCTTAACGCTTTTAAGGCTGATCTGCACTTCTAGGAGAGTGATTTCGGCGTCTAAGTCCGGGTCGTCCCTTCCGAAAAAACTTCCACTTGTACTAGGTTTCTCGGGGTAGATACTGCTCAAAAACTCCTCCCATTGCTCTAGGGGAATGCACTGTGGCTGCGAGGAAGGCTTCCTGACTGTTTTAACTACGCTCCAAAACTCAGCTTGAGACTTTACATTTTTGAACTTGTTAAGTACTTCTCGGTCGTGATCCTTCTTCTTTATTTTTAATAGCTTGTAGTAATTATCTTTTAGTTTATGATACTCAGACCACATGTAGCTATTGTCCTTGTAAGATTTGCAGGCTTTCAGCATGCAATAGAGTGCATTCCTCTTTGTGGAACATTCTAGATCATACCAGGGCTTGTTTATGTGATTAGATTTACGAATTGGACGAGTAGAAATTTGCATTCCACATTTTCTGGCTGCTGATGTAATGCTATTACATAGATTTTCATACAGGAGATCAGAGGACATATTGTGGAAGTCTCCTGCTATAAGAGGGGAATAACGCATGGCATTCTTGAAAGCTTGTTTGCCGGGACTTGACCACTGGAGCTTGACTTGACTGGCTGCGGGATATTCTGGTTGAACGTTTGTTTGCTGAGAGAAAGGCGTGAAAAGTTCTATGGAAATTGGAAAGTGATCAGATTTAGTAATTTGCTCCTCGACCCATAGGTCCTTGACGAGATGGAGGCCGGTAATGTCTACCCAAACTAAGTCGACGGTGCTGCTTCCATTTTTGTTCCCGAAAGTTAGTTGGCCAGGTGTATCTCTCTTGGAGCGACCGTTGATCAGTACAAAACCAGCTGAATCCATAAAATCAAGAAGAAGTTTACCTCGGTGGTTGACGGTGCTGTCACAGGAAGTTCTGCTGCAAGATAGGGTATTCAAGTTTAGCATCTCCATGTTGAAGTCGCCTAGAGATCCCACTCGTGCGTTGAAGTCGCCAGCGATTATGAAAATGTCGTAGTCTTGTTGGTCCATGATGGGGAAAAGCGCCAGTTGTAGTGCTAGTAGTGAGTCCTCAATGTCAACACTTGGTTTAAAATAGACTGTAGCTGTGATTATTGTTAGACGGCCGTGGTGTAAGGCAGTGATAATCCAAGAGTCAGAGGCATCTAAAGTTTTGTGCTTGATTTGAGAATCGATTAGCGTTAGGAGGCCTCCACTGGGGCGTCCTAAACCAGTAGGTGCTTGAGCGGGTGACCAAAATATATTCCAAGTGCTGGGAAAATTTATATCAGGGCAGCTTTTCGGGACCCATGTTTCCGTAATGCCCAAGTAAGATGCGTTAATAGTATTAAAGGTGTCTAATAGGTTGTGGATGCCGTGTACATTCCAGAAAGTCAGTATATATATATATATATATTATCCTTAGAAATTCTCCGTGAGAACAGAAATTACCATATTATTTCAGAATTCAAAAGGATAAGTAAGGATTTAGCTTTTTTAAATCCTCTTTTCTTCTTTTGAATTCTCCACAGTGTTAAAATCATAACATTATTTTAGAATTAAAAAGAATAAGTTAGTATTAAACTTTTTTAAATCCTCTTCTATTTTTCTGAATCCTCTACGAGAACAGAAATTGCAATATTATTTTAGAATCAAAAAGGATTAGTTCCCCGATGAAAAAAGTTTTTGTCTAATTATATATGATCATATATAATCATATATGAGAGCATATATAATCATACATGATTATATATAAGCTCATATATAATTAGATCTGATCATACCTGGTTGTTATAACCCCATATATAACTTTTTTTGTAATAACTTTTTTTTGGTTGGGGAAAAAAATTTGAAAAAATTCTGAAAATTGTTTTCAATAGGGTAGAGAAAGATACCAAAATTTCAGAAAAATCGAAAAGGGTCGGTGTCAAAAGTGGTCGATTTGGCATGGAATGCCCCATATATATATATATATAGATCTTCGATTTTCTGTGCGGGAAGTTGAAAATGTTTCATTAATTGTCATTCAAAGAATCTAAATACGCATTTTAAAATTTTTAAATGCGTAAAAACTATTTTTTCATGTTTCTTCAATAAAATAAATATAAAATTCATGTGCAGTGAATTGCACTTCAGTTCGGAGTTAATTAATTGAAAACCATCTACTCCGCATCCACTCCCAAATCACTCCACTTTCACTCCGAAAATTCTTTACAGTGTGCAGTCTAAAAAAGAGTAATTATTTCTGATTTTAATCATGACTGCCAAATTTTTTTTTTATTATCTGAAGTGATTGTGTATGTAGCCTCTACCGATTTTTTTTCCTTGTAAAAAGTTTTGTTTTAAATTAAGAAATGATAGAAGCACTTGATTTATTTGAATCTCAGCTATATCAAATTAATTGAAAAATTTTTTTTAATGCATAAAAAACGCGGTATTCTTAACAGGTTTGCTGGCTTGCTGCAGATTTCGAAGGGAAACGAAACGTAAATCTATAATGAAGTTCATTTTAAAAATATTATTACTGATAATCCAAACTGGTGGTGTAGTACTAATATTATTATTAAGTGAAATTGATAATGAAACTTGCTGGATATTGCCCTGTATTTTATTGCTATGTTCTCTTCGTTGGTGGCCAAATTATGTAACCGGAAAAAGTGACATAGGTATGAATCATCAATATTAGAAAAGTAAAATAAATATTTTTTAAGATAATGATTTTTTCAAGGATTTATTAGATATCTCAACAGTGTTAAAGAAAGATTAAAACTATGCCGAGGGTACGAACAAGGAATAACAGCTATACTCAGAATTTTAATTTTTTTCAGTGCCTCAATTTTAATTATTTACCACAAAAATATAAACATTAATACATATTTAAGTTGCTTCCCAGGAAGAATAGAATACAACATTATTTTTACCAGCTTAATTAATAATAGAAGTGATTTTCCTCAAAATAATACAATCGAAGAAACAGCAGCATTCATTACAGTTGATTCATCAACGCTGTTAGTAGTTTTATTCAGTCATGCTTTATCATCTTTTATCCTATACTCTGCAGGTATATATTACATTATTTTACTGGTGATTAAAGCTGAAATTGATAACTAAGCACCTCCTTATTACTCACTTCGAGTGTGAAAATTCTCATTTACAGAGTTATTTTTTCATTGACCGATTGTGTATATAAATTAGAATTTTTTTTTTTTTTTTAGCCTATTGGTCACAAATGACTAGTGAATCTTAATTCAAGCCAATAGATGAACCCTCCATCTTCCCTATATGTCAAGAGTTTCCTCTCTTCTACATTAGTTCGATGGGAATCCATCGAACTTGAATACTAGTAAAGCTGGAAGCTTGTAGTATTTGTTCGAGTAATAAAGATGTTAATTGAATGAAAGATAATGAAAGAAATTGAATAAGAGCAAAAACAAACTTTGAAAAAATATATGGGGTGTGGTTGCCAAGCCAGGAACCTGGACAGATACTACAAGCGTCCAGCTTTACTAGTATTGAAGTTCGATGAATTTCCATCGAACTAATGTAGAAGAGAGGATACTCTCGACACATAGGGAAGATGGAGTGTTCATCTATTGGCTTGAATTAAGATTCACGAGTCACTTGTGACCAATAGGCTGAAAAAAAAAATCTAATTCTCATTTACCTTTGCAGTATATTTAATTAATTCTTTTCGACAAAAAAAATAGATTTATTTAGATTGAATTCATTAGATCTAAACAGATCTGTATTTTGTCTATAATATTTCTCATATATGTTTCCATGATTTTAAAGTTATTTAATTTTTATTTGCAGGGAAATTTGCTGTAAAAACCCTAATGCACCGCTTTGGATTCGCTCTTCCTATGAGCTTAGTGACCTCTGTAAGCTTCATTGTTATGATCATTGTCTGTATTTTACGTGAAAACAATCCATGTGCCTTTCATGGATTTATTGGAGATTATTTATTTTTCACAAACCCAAAAATTAACGTTACGGCAGCTTCATTTTTACAGTGGCAATGCTTACTATGGTTATTGATATTGTTGTCTCAAGTATCGACTACCTTGCATATATGGACCAGCTATTGTGAAAGATTAGCTACGACTCATCGAATTTTTGCCCTGCCATTTTATGATTCTTTAATCATCGACCAGTCTCTCATGCTTAATCGACGGAAAGATAATTTTCATAATCACAAAAAAAGTAATAAGGTATTATCTAGTGTTTTTAATAAATATATGGGGCATTCCACGCCAAATCAACCACTTTTGACCCTGACCCCTTTTGATTTGGTTGAAAGTTTACCATCCTTTTCTACCCTATCAAAAACGTCTCTCATAATTTTTTCAAATTTTTTTACCCAACCAAAAAAAGTTCCGAATTTTTCAAAAAAACCGCTTTTTTATTTTTAAATTGCCATAATTTTTTCAAAAATTGGCTTATCGGGACGTTTTTTTTTCAAAATTTTTGTTAGTAAATGTTCTTTTTGGAAAAAAATTCGAGGATTCCCGTAAATTTTTGGACCGATGTTATGAAAAATACGACAAAAGAAAAAAAATTTTTTTTTTAATTGAAAAGAAAAAATAAAAATCGGAAAAACACCTTTCTGGAAATTTCATGATATCTATAAAAAGTGTCAAAGTTTAGAATGAGAAAAAGAAAAAAAAAACTAAAAATGTTATTCATCAAAAAATTCGGAGTTATTTCTGAAAATTTTAAAAATAACGATGAAGACAGCTTTGAATAATTTTTTTATATTTTTTTCCAAAAAAAAAATTTAAAAAAAAAAATTTTGAAAAAAAAAAC